ACTAATAAAATATGTATCGTGATATTGAATTGAGTGTATGTTTCTCTTACTGCTAGTTACCCGGGCTAAGGTACAAACGGACGCGATGTTATATTGGCTGCTAGAGTTTGTCATAGGGTGTTTTATCCCATAAATATTAAGTTTTCCCATGGAAAAGTTGATCGGTGAACGTAATCATGGCCCAGCTAGTGTGAAGTTACAACGGGAATGCTCAATTCGAAGTCTCAATTGTGAATATTATGTTCAAATGCATGCCTGTTTGGTGGCAAAAATAGGCAGGATTGTGGGACATACTCACGAAGGTTCACAAAACAGCCTGCTACCAGTCAATGCCCATAATAAGAGTACTCAAAGAACGCCGCTGTCCATTCTCCGGTCAATCCCTCAATCGCCTTCCACGACACCCGATTATCTCAAATTTCACAATCAAACTTTTAAGTTCAAGCCTTATTTCAAGGATTGCTTGAATGTCGAGACCGATTGGAGTATTATTTGCCCTTTAAAACTCACCTTTGATGACCGTGAATTGCGAGACATTTAATGGTGTAACAACATCTGATCATGTTATGTTATAGCCTTAATACAGTAGTAAGCTTGTTTGCGTATACACATGTCCACCTACTCTCCATTGTTTGCAATGTCAGATTTCATTAATACAGGACAATAGCCTTCAAATATTGTTTGCTGGTGGCACAATGGGGTGAACAGCTACTGTTGGGAACGATAACGATGTGTCTGTGTGAAAATTCTATTGTCCTAGTTAGACCTAGTTGGATATAAAGAGGACGTTAACTGAATTAAATTTGTAATTACTGTTCCTATATATCATCACTACATAGTATAAAACAAAGTCGCTTTCTCTGTCCCTATATCTGTATGTTCCTATGTATGCTTAAATCTTTAAAATTACGCAACGGATTTTGATGCGGTTTTTTTTAATACATAGAGTGATTGAAGAGGAAGGTTTATATGTATAATAACATCCATTGAATAGTGGAGAAATCAATAATAAATTACAGTTTCCGAAGCGAAGCGAGGGCGGGTTGCTAGTATATGTATATTTTTGTTAGAGAACTTGATGTTTTCGAAGTCCAATCTCTTTTGAACCTCTCTTTGCTAGCGTCGACAAGGGCTTAAGGTTTTTACGGGTCCTGGGTAGAATACAACCTCAGTCAGAATGCAAGTTTTACTGGTGGTAGGACCTCTTGTGAATCCGCACGGGTAGTAACCACCACCCTGCTTATTTCTGCCGTGAAGCGTTTCGGCTTGAAGGGTGGGGCAGCCGTTGTAACTATACTTGAGACTTTAGAACTTATATCTCAAAGTGGGTGGCACATTTACGTTGTAGATGTCTATGGGCTCCAGTAACCACTTAACACCAGGTGGGCTGTGAGCTCGTCCACCCATATAAGCAATAAAAAAAAGTCTGAATATACTGGGTTTCGAGTTAAATAACTTGCATAACCAGTATTCTTTGGAACCTTTCGCTGGAACTGTTGACAGATATAGACGTGCTGTCTGCAAAGTTAACCTTTTTGATTTTCTTTGTTACAAATATAATGCTTATTTTATAGCATCTGATAACAAATCATTTGTTTCACCGCTACACACAGCCGGTACCTGTGCAATGTGTTGGTATTTGAGTTTATTGTCTGTGCTATTTGTTATTATTATCATGTTTATGTATAAAATATTGGTAACTAATAAAAAAAAAGAACTGTCGATATATTGTGTGTACAGAAAATTTTGTATCTAACTTACCTATAGCAAAACAGTAAGTAGATAGTCAATTATATTAGAAGCCAAACATACGTGAAAGTGGCCGTGACAGATGTCTTATTAGATCATCGATTAAATTAACGATTTGGTAACTGAATGTTAACTGAAAACCCATAATTGTGGAGCCTTAAAGATTGTTCAATAAATCATTCAGTGACTGTAATTCATGTAATAGAGAATATGAAGCGTTTTGTGATGTACAAGCACTATACAATAGACCGAGTAATTGATTGCATTGCAAAGACGTCCCGAGGCACGCGGCACGCGATCCCGGGTCGATTCAACTCAGACTATAGAAAAACTGATAACTTTATTAATACGTGCCATGGGAGCTATATCGGAATAGAAATAAAATTTTAATAATTTGATGAATAGCTTGAACTGTTTGAGATTAAATCTTATTACTTTTTTTTTTCTTCCTACCTATGCTGATAGCCTTGAGAGGCTATATCAGCCTTACCTTAGCGAGCTCACCTCACGGGGCTCAAACTGGAGGTGTTGTGGCCCTAGTAAGAGCAGTGCTTCGCAGAATCTACCACCGGATCGGAAACTCGACGCACCGAGAAGATCCGGCGAGAAATTCAGTGGGTTGAGTCTATGGGTTAATTTACTCGTTAAGCTCTTCGTCGCAAGCGACGGGTTCGGCTAGGACTGTGACCGGTCTTTTTACAGTACTAGCATCTGTACTTGCACAATACATGTATATAAAAACAGGTTTATTTATCGAGTTCTATGCAGAATAGAGTACTACTGCAATCAGATGAGTCACAGACTGGTCTGCCCAGGAAAACAAAACGTAAAATATTTCTTTGAAATTCAGCATTGACTCACTATGAATAATAGAAGTGAAACTGATTTCGTAAAAGCTAATAAGTCAATTGAACAATAAAAAAAATAAAAAAAGATTGCAATCTAAAATAACAGACAACGAGACAAGAACAAAGTGCCGTCACGGATCAAATCACCGTCGGAGATACGTCAAGAGATCACCTGGCGTCACGTAATGAGGTCGGTCGCGGACGGATTTCACGGCTAGACGCGCCGTCACGCCGATTGTTCCCACACAATTGAATCTTTCGTCGGACGCATGAAAAAAAAAATCGGATGAAAAAGAAGACCTAACTGTTCAATTTACTCTGTGCTTATTTTCAACTTACAGCGACGTGATACGGAAATTGGCTTTCAATGTTCCGTTTGGGCGTTTCGACTTGTTGGATCGAATAAAGGATTGTGTTGGAATTAGGAAAACTTTAAATCGATTCGCTTATGCTATGCTTTATGTCAGTCAATATATTATTTAATACCCAGAGAGAGAGTAAATGGGTATAAAGCATAGATTATCTGATTGTGAAAGGAGCTATTTAATACCTAGAGACAGAGTAAATGGGTATAAAACATAGATTATCTGATTGTGTAAGGTGGACTCTAATCTAAAAGAGTAATTATTATCTTCATAGTCCACATCTGTGACGTTAAGTAAACAGCGTTATGTGTTGAATTGAAACTCAATATTAAATATATTGTGTCAGCACTACTTTATTTCCGAAGACGTCTTGTCAGATCTCAATTCCCAATTGCCTAGATATTTCTTACACGGAACTCATATTCACACAACTGTTTGCAAACGTGTCCCTTGTATGGTCTAATCGAATAAAACATCCAATATTATAATAATATGTATTCACTTTATATAGTAATAGCGATTATTAGTTATCGGGGAATACTAATCTGACAAAAAATGTAAATCTCTTTGACAAAAATATGTGTTCATGAAATCTTCCAAATGTGCTTACCGAGAAAGAAAATTTTAATCTTTGGTTTTGCCGAACTATGAAAACAGCTTGGTAGACATTTAAAATGAGTCATTGCATATGTTGTAGTAGTAGCAGTAGTCGCTAAGTTGGGCTGTGAGCTCGTATACTGGGCTATGCAATAAATAAATAATAGTTTAAAAAAACTAACAAAATACGCTTTTATAGAAAATCCAACTAAAACATAGAAAATGAATTTTATTAAATTTGAATAAAAAATGTGTAAGAAAAAATGATTTTATTGTAAAAAAGCGTGGGGTGCTTTTCAAGATATTATCAAAATAACTCTTCTTCACATATCTGTTCATAACATATTTATAACTAGTGATACCGTGCACCCCACGCTTTTTTTTACAATAAAATCATTATTTCTTACACTATTTTTAATTCAAGTTTATTAAAATTTATTTTCTATTTTTTTAGTTGGAATTTCTATAAAAGCGTATTTTGTTTAAACTATTTTTTATTTGTTATTTTTTAGTTGAATTTCAATATTTTCAATATATTTTTTTAATATGCAATTGTCATCGGTCCTTGATAAGTATACCAAATTTGGAGTTAATCCGACGTTTTGAAGGGGGTCAAAATCATGTTCAAAGATTCCGTTACATACATACGTCTGAAGCTAATAAGAGCGTCACGTCCTTACGGATCCATCAGATCCAATAACCTTTGCATTAGGCGCCTTCAGCTCTAACACTAGGAGCAGGCTTAGGGACTTCGGTAACCGTACTCGTCGAACTCGACGAAGAGTTCGCCGTGCAACCTAACCCATGAATCAGCTAGCTGAGTTTCTCGCCGCATCTTCTCAGCAGGTCGTGATTCCGATCCGGTAGTAGATTCATTCGCGAAGCAGCTACTCTTGAGCTGTTAGGTCTCCTTCGGAGGCGCTCGGGTAGCTGTTAGCAAATCCCACCCCTCCTGGCTGAGCCTTTGCTCGCCCACCTATCCTGGTGAAACTGGAAAGGCCTCCGGGCCACCAGTAATCCTTCAATCATAAAAAAAAAAATAAGAGCGTATTAAAAAGCAAACATACACGTGCAATCAATATGGAATCGATCTTCTTTTTGCAGTCCCTTAAATTATTCACGCACACATTGCTACGGACTTCAGCGTCTCGGCGCTTCACATCTTTGTTTACGAACGTTACATAGTTGTTTAACACATGTACCTAGTGTTGAATTAGTTTTGTAGTGTTTAAGAAATATTTCCGAGAAGGGAAGATCTTTGATTACAAAAATAGCCACAATAATTTAAACATCAAAAGAACTCCGCCAGAGATTCTTAAAGACCTCTTCGTTTTACAGGTCATCGCACTTTTAACTCGCATTCATAACACTGTACACATGTATCGATTAGCCAAAGCTATAAAAACCGTTATATATTAATGAGTCACGTGTATTGTTTCAGATTGCGACAGTTTCGGAGCAACATTTTGCGGTAACGTTTATAATATTACTGTATTTTTTATTGCAATGTGTTCTCGATCGAAACCGCGCTATTGCAATATAGACTCTTCATGATTCATGGTTTTTTTTGCATAGTTGGGTGAATGAGCCACCTTGTATCTGGTTTCAGTGGTCACCGCAGCCCACAGACATAGCAACGTGCTGCATAAAGTCAAAGTCACAATTAAACTGTATAACGATTGATCCACCCCGGTTCGCAACAGTAACCGGCATTATCGTGGTAACTGGTAACTACATGTGCGGCCTTGCTATACCATCAATACCGTATTGCGTATCTGATTTTTGTTATACTATGTTATTCCTTCGTCTTGGAAGTCAATCAGTTGGCAGGAAGCGGCTTGGCTCATCCCCAAGCATTGCTGACGTGGACGGTAAGTACCACAACATCAGGTGGGCCGTATGCTCAGACAAGCAAGCAGACGCCTACAAGGTAAATAAAATGAAGTCGCGAAAATGTGTGTCAAGTACGTATTCCCTTAGAAATCAGCCTGCTGGTATTGGCCATTGGCACATTTGCGAATTGTGGTTCAAACGAAAACAAGGGTATCTTATTCTACAGAATAAGGCAGCTTCGAAAGCTTAAGTTAAATAGCTAAATTGAAAATTAGTTATATACAGTGCCAGTAGTTCTTCAGTAGTAACTTCATGCTCTAAGGAAATGTTAAGATATACATCTCCTTTCAACAATTTTACCACCCTCAATGCGCCTCGAGAAATCATTTTTGTCACGAATCCTCACGATTTCCTTTTCTTCTAAAAAATGGGTTGGTTCGAATCTGGTAAACGCATACCGGAAGATGTAGCGTGGGTCCACGACCTATTGGCATTCGTGGGGATGTGCTGGATGCAAGCAGCTTGGTGGAGGCCTATGTCCAACATTGAACGTCAGTAGGCTGAAAGATAGATAGACAAAATAGTCTAGTGGTAAACAGTGGTTTGATTGTGCCTTTAACATTAAAAATATCCATGAACGACGGTATCAAGGCCTTAAGCTAATCTGTCTTCGACTACAATGTAACAAGCAAACATTATATTTCCGGTTTGAATGTAAACTAATAAATAGCGTTAGGATTGTAACATTTTCTGTCGGTTACCGCAGTGTACAATAACAACTATTGACGTTAGTATCTATATTGGTTTGCGATGATAACAAACCGGCTCAAAGATTCCGTAAGGAGGTTGAAGGTCAACACTAGGGCAAGGTTGCCGGCCGTTAGCCTTAGAATGGTCGCTGTTGCGTATAGCTTAGTCGCTATCCGGTTCAGAGATAATCAAGGTGAATTTGGCTCTTCTATTTTCTTGTTAAGTCTATATCTCGACAGAGCTACTGACAATTTTCCTGTTGTGGTAGTTCGTTTTCGTGTTATTTTTATTGTTTACTACGCGACTGGAGAGTTTTTGTTTGTCGGCTAATATTGGTCAACCTTATGCTAAATGGATTTGGACCAATTGACAACATGATCTGAATGCAACTGTCTTTGAAACATTCTTTCAATTGACAGGCAGCGGCCTGGCTGTGCCATTGACATTGTTGACATCTGTATGATCGTCTGGCTACAAAGAGAATAAAAAAAAAACTATTAGTTAAATTTGTAAAACTTTTATTTTGTCATACCCCATCGCTGGGAGCGTAATGGGTAATACGAGCTACCCTCGGACTGGATTTGTTCAATAACCCGTATACCTCGTTTTCCTATTACAAGTGTCGATTACATGTTTCAGTTTGGCTTAAAAGGCTCTTGTTATTTTCCTTTGAATGGGTTGGTTGCTCATAAATTTTAATTTGTTTGTGACATTTCACGCACTGTCCCATATGTCTAAAAGCGATTTTCTCGACAACGATCGCCATTTGGTCGTAATATTGCTTTTCGTCGATTCTGATCGTAAAATTTGTGCGCTCCGTGTTTGATTGTTTTACATTAAGCTTTGATTGGTGACCGATAATAGAATGGATGAGTCGTCAGTTGAGAACGTGGATATATTGCTTCAGTGTGCTTAGTGCGAGTTTTTTAACGTTCTCGATAGCGGAAGAGTTAGCTCATATTGGTATGGAATGGGACATCCCATTAGTATTAGTATTAGTAGGCAAATATTTGCATACGTTTGCCGCTAGGGGCGCTGATCCAACTGCATACAAAATTGGGCTAACTTTTACGCTATCGAGAACGTTAAGAAACTCGCACTAAGCATACTGTTAGCAATACAAGTTGCTATGAGGTTATATGTATAGGCTAGTGAACGTACTTCATGTCGCTCGCCACACATTTTTTTTTTTATATTTTCTTACAAACTTACGGTCCGAGGGGTGTTATGTTCTACCGGAGTTTAATACATGTGAACAGATAGATACAAATGTCTTTTAATGTATCAAGTTTACTAAGTCGATTCAATTGCGTTTAAGTTGAAGATATACGAAAAGAAAAAAATGCAACTAAATTGAATAAGAACGGAAACAAAACCCAAGTAGGCCAAATTGAAAAACGGCCTTTTTTTGTTTGGTATAAAGAAATCGCCGAACTTCCACCAATACGCTGCGATAGGCGGAGCGTGTTGAAGTTCATCCGACTAAAACCCTCTTTCACTCAACGGCCTGCGCCCGAGTCTGGTTGGGTGGAATGTGATGCGTTTCCTGCGAAGTGCATGTCTCTCACCACCTTTCCCCCAAAGAAACAGCAGCTTAAACCTGCTTTTTACTCCCGTTATATACATATCGTCCGTCCATCTCATGTCCCTCTATACAGGTAACTTTAGAATATAATTCGACCTTACCGCAGAATATTATCGTGTCTCGATGAACTGCACGAAGGTCGCGGTCAATGGGACTCGAAGCTGTTTATCGCGTGCCGGATGCGTGTTACAAAGTTCGACCAAGCGCCTGATAAGTGTAGCATGATGGGGCTTGATAAGAATTCCCCTTCATCCAACAAAAAAAGCATGAATACCGTCTGTGTACTCAAATGGAATTATTTAGCGATTGTTGGGAAAAAATGTTGTGAGATTGATCTATTTTTTGAACGGTTCCTAGGGGCGGTTTCTCTACGAATGTTTGGTATAAAACTAAGTACGCAAGTGGCCGATAATTAGTTCCTACTCGTTTACACCTTGATGTATGAAAATTATTTTTTCTATTATATGTGGTTTCGTTCGTGCTGTGTTCGACTGAGTTGAAACTTTTGTTGGTATTTCAGGTTTTTGTATCAACTACGTATTACAAGCTGTCGTGCATAGTTGGCGGGATATTGGCCTGATTCAATATTACTTCATTTAATTTTTGAACTGCGTTTATTGATAATCGATAGGGGACTATTTCGATAATTTTATATTTATACCTACTTATTACAACTTAAAACTAACTTAAAACAAAATCTCGACATATTTCAATATTCCAATGCTAACAATCTAATCGAAGTCTTGTGACTGTTGGAATATCATCTATTTTACATCAGAGAAAGGAACTAATGCAGAAATTGGCATGACGTTTTGTCGAACCATGTGGGCTTATTCAGCAAAACAACTTTAATCTTACGACTAGGGATATAATGCACATTGCAAAGCTAGCCACACAGAATGCGTATGACTTCTCGGGCATTTCGATAACTTTATGATAACTTTATTGAGATAGGTCAACAATTCTCTCCCCGGACAGCGATAAAACTACTAAAAATACAACCGACCAATGTAGATCGAGATAAAACTTTTTTTTATTTTACGTGTGACATAAATATGCGCCCACGCTGCACTCCGAATGTCTGTACGAGAAAGTTTTCTAATTGACTATCGAAATTCTGAGTTGTGGCTAATGTCGGGTTGTGCCTCCTAAATAATTGTTTATAATAAATATAATAATAGTAAAATGATTTAAGTGGTATGTAGATATTAGTCTGTCTTAAGCATTGCTGCACATTGATAGTTACCCATGGGAGAATGCTTGACTCTTGTAGCATGGTTCAAAATGGTGTATGAATGGAATACAGGAATGTTGATTGTATTTAATTCGATGCGTAATTAACAAAACAATTTGAAGATTTATTTGACAATCGGTTATGTTGTTGTCAAAAACAGATACGACAACATAAGAGTTCGATTTAGTTTGCGTCATTGGCAAAATACAGGAATATTGTGATGAATATTCATAGTATGTATGGGCGCGAACGCCACTATTGGCAATTTGAAACGGCCGTCTGGTGTAGTGGTAAGTAACATGGTCACTACACAAGGGGGTCGCGGGTTCGAATCACGCCAAGGGAGGATATTTGTATGATAAATATAAATGTCTTTTCCAGGGTTATGGATGTATCTTAAATATATGTATGTGTATAATAAAAAATCTTACATTTATTTCCATTATCTGGTACCTGTAACACAAGTTCTTTACGAACTTACCATGGGACCAGTTAACGTGGCGTGATTGTTAGTAAACATATTTTTATTTAAAAAATAATAATTAACTAAACAATATATACACATACTTTAGTTTATTCTATGTTATTGTTTATTTATTATTAGCAAGATGAAACTGTTATTCTACCATATTTAATAATTAGCAGACACTGTTTTGATGTGAAAATGTTCAGAATACGTTTAATGTTTATATTTTTGTTTAAAAACACAAATTACTATAAATAATTAAATGTAAATAAAGCATAAATATTAATAATAATTTATATTCTAATTAACAGTAATAATTTAAATAAGTATTGTAATTGTTATGCAATAATGTTGTTGGCGCCATCTATCATTAGGCTGGATAATATTATGTTAGTTTATATTAGTTAAAAGTATGTAATTTATGTAAAATAAATTAATGTCAGTCATGTAAAAATCACTAAAATATGTATTGTGAACATTAAGCCATATTTTGTGAATTGTTTCGCAGTAATTAATTACATTTGTTTGTATAAAAGAAGTTGTACTTGCTATAACCAAAACAAAATGGCTAATTGTGTAAGTGTGTAAGAATCACTGAAGAAC